GCAGTTTTTTAAGCACATCATGGAAGCTTATAAACATTTGTGTATTTTATCGGCAACCCGGCTGGCCAGACCGAGACGGTGCCGCATATAGTTCTCATCGATGTTAAACCTATACACTTATTTTTCTCCAATGACGAAGGCACGTTGTTGTCCGAAACGTTTGGTTTTATTCGCATTGTTTTTATATTGTCATTGTCTGTGAGAAAAACATACCCATATGGACTGGTCTCAGTTCATGTAGTAATTGTTGCATATTAATAACACAGATAAAATGAATATTAGCCCTCACCACACATATAAGTAGAGGTAGGTAGACCGCGCCCCCTGCTTTTCACCAATAAATCGCGGCAAAGCGAAGGATTGCGACGATTCTTTGGTGCCCTGGAGTTAATCAATTTTACAACTTCCCGGAAAATTAAATAGCCCTGATAATTTTTGCATCTTGTCTGAGAATTTTATATCCCTGAACCAAATTACCTTTCACCTGTGATTATTTTTCTCAAGATCATGTCAGGCCAGAATAGCAATTGAAAGTCAGCGCACATCTGTGTGTTTCCTTAGTCGTTTCGTGATTAGCAACGTGACAACATGTGAAATATACTATCTAATGTTTGTCTCATTGATTGTTGTGGGTGCCAAGGTCGCGTGAAACTCAGGTTAAGGTCATTTACTTGAAATTATCTCGGTTAACTTCCTTAAATTTACACCTTTTTACTGTGGTTTTTAGGAAGTGTTGGTTTGAAATTTAGCACTCATTTTAGCATTTGAAAACTAGGCATGCTTAGGTATCAGTTATAGTGCCTATGCAATATGTTGCAAGGCTATAAGTGCTGGTTAACATTCTATGGATAGCCGGCAGAACGCCTAATGGGTGATCTGGCGTGACCCGTCCTACCCCAAATGCTTTGATACATCATCTTTGATCAAAGCAAGTGCAAATTCGGAGTCAGAAGCAAGCCAAGTCCCAGCAAACTTCACTTGTAGAAATTCTAGCAGGACCCAATTTTCCGTGCTTTTGGGTTATTAACCCTCGCCCGCACATGGGGGGGGGGGGGGGGGTGGTGGTTGCCACCCCCAGGTAGTTTTTCTGCTCTGCACTCAACATTTTTAGAGCTAGGAGGCTGATTTTTCGTATAGCTGCTCCTCTGTCCTTTCCCGATGTCCACTGAAAATTTCAAGTTTCTGTGGTTTTTGGTTTCGGAGATATGACCTTGTTTTTCAGGTCATGTCATGACCCAAATGGCCAATTATCAACATCTTGCGTTGGCTATGGGCCTTGTGAGCTTCTGACACCTTAATTTCGGCCTTTTTTGCCAGTCTTACCTCCCACCTATCATGGAACATGTTGTTCGACGATCTACAGATGTCAAGGTCAGGGTCAAGGTCAACCTAGGTCATCTAAGATAATTGCGTTTTAGGCAAGCGGAACTTACTTTTTGTGAATTTTTTTGACTGCATTTTTGGTAAAAGCTTCTCAGATCATGATTTCATGTAATATGGACACATAAACAATCGGTGCACACATCAGTATACACACAGACACACACAGACATACAAACACATATAATTGACCTTGACCTAACTTGACCTGAAATGACCTCAGCAGCAAAAACCTGGTCGGGTATTGTGACAAAGAGGTTCTAGCTGGCTTGGCACCAAAAAAACGGCATCGTCATCGGTATATGATAAGCAGCGCACTTGATATCCAACTGTGACCAAAAACAGCAACATTTTTTAGTTTGACCTGACCTGGAAGGTCACTGACTGACCTGAGAAGGTAAAACTGGGTATCATTGGATTCGTCTCTTCCCAAAGAATCTTTTTGGTCTTTACCGCTAAGCTCTATCTCCAACAGGAACGAAATGGCGCGGGGGGGGGGGGGGTGGCAACCCCCCCCCCCCCTTGTGCGTTCTAGGATGGGAAAATGGCATGTGCGGGCGAGGGTTAACCTGGTCTGGGAGGTCAACCAGTGACCTAGGATCTCAGCATTGACCAGGACATAAAAATAATTGGCTTTCTCTCGTCAGCGATGACCAGGGCCCTCAAATCATCGAATTTCTCTCGTCACGAGCAGCTCGCTCTTTTTTTATTTTTCAGCGAAGCTCTGGCTATTCATGAATGGCTGAGGGTTTCTACGCCCCTCCGCTACATATAAGACGCTGAAAAGAAATGCCTAAGTGGGTGAGGGTTAAATATCGATTGGTTTTTAAGTGCCGAAGCCCGAAACACTTAAATTTACTTCGATAGCAGTTTTTAAGACCAACGAGCTCGAATACTACTTTTTGAACAATGTAAGCACCACATAAAATGAATCGTAAGAGAAGCGGCTCAAGATTAAGGAGCTATGAGACACTTAATAAAAAAAAACGGCATAGACTAGAAACTGCACCTAACTTGCACTGGTTTTTAAACCCTTTCGTTGCAGACTGGTAGATTAAATTTTAGGATTGATTTAAGCTGATGCTCAAATGGAGCTATTCATTCGTCATTCATGCGACCATCCAATTCCATTCATAAAAGAAGCCAGTGACAAAATTGTTCATTTTAGATAAGTGTGAAATACAAACTCAATAAAAGTTTAATGATACGGCAAATTTGACAGCTTTTATAATGAACAGACAAACAACTTTAACAAATCAAAGTTGAGAGCCCCAAATAGGGGAGAGTGAGGTAAGATGAGCCAAGGGGCAAGTTAAGCCACCCTTTGTTTCTCAGCTCCTATGGCGCTAATTGACTTGAGCTTCCATGTGCCGTTCGCTTACGATGCTGCAGTCTTTCACGCGAGACGGCAACGTTCTCACGCTCAGCACCCGGTAACATGTGGTATCGCCCCTGATAACTAAGACATGTTTTGCCTTTAAAAAAATGAGATGGCTGTTATCTGCGGTGCATGGTTATTTTCCTTAGCGGGTGTCATTAATCGAAAATGGCCACGGGTGGGGCAAGATGAGCCATTTTCACCTGGGGGAAGATGAGCCGGATAAGCCATTGTTGTCCCCGCTGTCGAAAACCAAACTGAGCTGCGCTTGTTTCTGCTGAATAAAAATGGTAGCAAATTGTTTTTATTTGTTGATTACACAAGTTGTAAGTGATTTGCAGATTATCTGAAGGATAAAATGATTTCTTCCGTGATAGAAAATTGACGAGCTATTGGAAGGCTTAAAACAGTCACTTTTTGATGGAGGAAAAAAAACTTTGCCATAAGTATCTATGCCATGGAGTAAATAAAAGAGCCCACTCTTCGCCGCGCCCGGGAAAAGAAAAGGTTCGCTTTTTCTATCCATGCTCAACTTTCCCCACGACGTGTCTCAGCTTACCCCGCCCATGGGGTAAGATGAGCAACGTGCAAGATGATTTTTGACGTAGCCTTTTCAGTACAAAAATAAGCGGTATGAAACATTTCTGGCCACCATTACATGCGCAAATCACCAATCTGTTCGTCCAACCCGTAAACGCAGAAAAATGATCAGGTTAGCCTGTAGCTTACGAAAACAAAAAGCGGCTCAACTTACCTCATTTTCCCCTACGTAACACAATTGAGGGCATTTTTTTAGGCCATCACAGTATTTGTCAACAATTGTTGTTTGGGGGGCTGGGGAGGGTGGTTACTGGCTCATAATCTGTCCCCCCCCCCAAAAAAAAAAGAAAGAAAACGAAACCGATCATCCGCGAAAAGAACTATTGAGCTCAAACCAAGATGACGAATCGATTTATAGGTATGCAGGATGACTAACGATGCCACTTTTTGACTTCTTGTGTCAAATAAATTCCATCATCTGGATAGCACGTCAACATTCTATTTGACATTTTGCAACAAACGTATACTATTTGGCGCGACTAGCCTCATAAATGTTCTGAAACTAAAACCGTTTCTTCGCAATTAACTTGAACCACTTCATCCCAGCTTATGCACGACAAAAATAAAATAATGCTTCAGGATCACTGGCCTGAATTCCAATGCTTAAAGTTTACTCAAAACCGGTGTGGCTGAGGCACTCTTCGCTACATCTCGTGACGGCCACCATTGTGTTGCATTTTTCGGTAAGCTATAAGTTAATAAGGAAAGGATTGGTGAATGGGTTGAAAACAGCCCTCACCCTCCACCCCCCCCCCTCCTTCTTCTGGAAACATAGTAACCGAAAGATCTGGCGATGGTTTATCCACCTCCTCTGCCGCCGCGCTGCGAGGCCTCGATTCGTTCGGTATGTGGCTTCCTGAGCGGTCCTCCCCGGAGGCAAGGTGAAAGGTCATGTCCTGTATCAGAAATTTATACGTTGCTGAATATGTTTTATAGTTCTTCCAAGGCCTTGGACACCGTTTTATTATATCGGATAAGCATTGCAATTTCTTGTCAATCAATACATCTAAAGAAAACTTGATCATAATCTTATACTGCGGCAATTGTAGTTCTGCTTACGGTTGCCTCTTTATGATACGGGCCACCACCACCTCCACTGCGCTGGAGCTCTGGCGTTCTACCCCTCCCCGCTACGGACCGGCCCTCGGGCTAGGTGTGTTAGTACTGAGCGCAAACCTGTAGTAGTCACGTGACTTTCATTCACGTAGCGGGAACGGAAGCTATAGGCGATACCAAGGATGGGCTCTGGGGAGGCAACCGGCGCGGAAAAATAGCACGATTGTAGTTTTGGAAGAATATCTGTTGCGGTAAGAGGAATTATACAAAACATACGTCTTAGGAGCAAACATGTGTTATTCCTCCATACTTTGCACTACATTTCCTTTCTCCAATGGCCAGCACTTAGCAAATAATAGCGCAATTCTAAATTGGTAATATATGTGTACAGTAGCAACTGCGGGTCCCTGTACCGGCATGGCCAACTACATAAGTCATATTTGTCATTTTTATGACTTAGACCTTTGCATACCAGCATACAGTGGTCTATAATTATGGATATAAATATTCGTCAGCATTCAAAGGACAGGACCTGGATCCGAACCATGCTTCTAGCCGTGAAAACGTAAATCATTTGAGCACTGACCGTGATCTGGTAGTGCCGGCAGATGGGACTGAATGCGTTCGTTCCGCACACAAACAATCCACCGTCGTCCTTCTTCGCCAGGACGCGGATGTAGTTCTGACAGTCGACCTGAAACGAACAGAAAGCGTGATCATTACAGGAGACCGTGATTGCCTGCAGTAGATTAGAAGACAGGGTGGAGCAAACGTAAAATGTAAAAACAATGAATGGTGGCGAATAAGGCGGCAAAATGACTTTAAAACACAATTCGGCAGCTTCGGCCCAACTAATTATGTTTGATAAGCTCGTACACTGATGAACATAAGCTACTTCATCTCACTTTTCTTGTTTATGGGCTATGTCCAACTACTTTGATACAAGATAACAGCACATATCGCCCTTGCCGCTAGCATTCTGGGTAAACTATGCAACTCAATTTCCTGAGCCCTGGCCCCTGGGGTACATATTACGCACTCAAATATTATTTACCTAGTGCCTTCGGCTTTACGGGTAAGCAAATAATTAAGCAAAGCGATATCGGCTTTCAGCAATAGCCTTAAAATAGACCTAACTACGACACTATGAAAACAGACAATGACCTGACATCACCTGAAGGCACGAATTCATAAGGCGATGACCACACGGCCTAATGACGATGTAACATGTGTCATCCAGCATTGCATTCGCGATACACTGCAACTATGTCCAGTGCCAAGTTGTCCCAGGTCAGGACATTGCGAGCTGCGAGCGAGCCTGTACTTACATATGGTATAGGCAGGGGCAAACCTTGGACACTTACCTCAGGCTTGCCCTTGAGCTTGCAGAGCTCCACTGTCGAGGCATTAGACGGCCAGTCGAGTTTCTGAAAACAGAGACAATTATACGTCAGCATATGCATCGAACACGTCAGTGACGAGCTTTAACCCGCGCCCTGGTGGGGGGGGGGGCTATTTTTTGCCCCCCCCCCTCCAGACTTTTCGATATATCTCCAGAACCACTGCGCCGATCGTCACCAAACTTTCAGTACCCTCCCGGACATCAATTTTACACATTGTGACCAAAAATTTTTCCAAAGGCTATGATAGGTTGGCCGGAAATGACGTCAGAGTGACGTCATGTTCTGCCGTTTTCGACCCAAAAAAGGGTTTCGCGGGAAGAGCTGTCAGGCCTATAGCTTTGCAAATACAGAAAAATGATACAGACATAAAAGCTGTAGAATGGACAGGGCTACAAAACTGCTATCTCGGATTTTTGAAATTTTTGGATTTTGACCCCCAAAAATAAAAAATAGATTTTTTGAATATAATAACCAAAAATCCAAAAAGTTTTTTGAATTTCGAAAAAACCGGAATATATGTGATAGTCCCTACCGTCTTCCATCTACATACCAAATTTGAGATTGATACCTCTTTTTTTGGCCAAGTTATAGCGAAAAAACTGTTCAAAATTGATGACGTCAAATTTTCAAACTCAATTTTCAGCAATTCTAGACCTCGTAGCGCAAAACAAAGACCACCATTAGACTCCCCGTGACGAGCTGCATCGAATCAATACCCATTTTATGCAAAAATATCAACTTTGAAATTTGACCTTTTTTGACCTGACCTTGACCTGACCTCCACCAGAAAGTGACCTAAACCGTACCTGATGGTCTTAAAACCAACACCATTGAGTTGGAAATGAAAAACTGGCCATAAAACATGCATCGCACAACCTTAGTAAAGTTGGGTTCATGTGGTGACCCTCGGTGACCTTTGGTGACCTGACCTGTGACCTGACCTGGTATGACCAGTGACCTCTAACAGCAACATATCTACTAGGCAACTGACGCCCTATCGCTGATTCCCGACAAAATGCGTTTTCCTCGGTGTTATAGCGCATTCCCTAGAAGACCCGTGAACGGTGAAACATTTCATCTTTGACCTGACCTGTGACGTCATCGGTGACCCCGAGGTCAATAAAATTTGGTTTCCTTCGACAAATTTGACAGGCCTTTCGAACGCCGTTTGAATTTTGCGGATCCGTCCAGTAGTTTCGGAGATACGAGGGGGGGCAAAAAATAGCCCCCCCCCCACCAGGTCGCGTTATAAACAGACCCCACCAGGGCGCGGGTTAATTAGCTCACCAAACAGTAGCATATATTTACAGCTCTCGCGGATATGTTACTTTTTACCCGACCCATTCCTTCCTTTTCAGCCCGGTCCCGCAAAAAAAAAAAACAAAAAACAATGTATAATGGAGTCAGATGTCAACATCTCCACACCATCGCATATTTAGTAGCCGCATCTCAATCCTAGCACAACACTAACCGGAGTCAACTCATTCCAACTAGGAGTGTCGTCACTATTTCCGCCGCTGACTAACGACGCTTTCAGCACAACTCAGCGCCAACTTAGCCACTTGATGTCCCCAGTCGTAGCTCGGACCCGGTGACTGACATTACACCTCGAACTGCCGTCCCAAAGCCGTAGAAGTCGACGGCACAGCGTTGGAACTCGACGGAGGGGGTCTGTTTGGACAAAGCCACCGACCGCATGTGGAGAGAGGTCGATACAAAGCCACTAAAACCGGATGAAACATAAACAACGCTTCAGCGGGGGGCAAAGATGTTTCCGCATAGGAAGGACAAGAAGTCGTTGGGTACGACCTATAACTAAACTGACAAAAACTGAGTTGAATGATATTGTGCAGATGTTGTGTATTTGAAACGAGGATCCGAGAGGCAATGCCTTCGTAAATAATAAGCCTTGGGGTCGTTGTGACAGGGTTGAAAGTGGACTGTGGATAAAATGTGGGCTGGGTTTTGGATAAGAGTGTAGGTGTGCTGTGAAATGGCCCAGGATGGACCATGGTTAGAGAGAACCAGAAAGGTTACATAAGCGAGAGGTAGAGCGAGGGAGACCGCTCAGCGGATCTCTACCGCTGGTCCACTGTGGCGCAGCAGTTTATGGATTTCTGCCGTGGACAGCGCCACTCTCCGGAGAGACAGAACGACAGACCGTGCTCTGACACAGCGGCGACACTGTTCACCAAAGGTCAGGGGTCACCCCGACGGAGAGAGACTGAGGGAGAAAGGGAGAGAGAGAGAGAGAGAGAGAGAGAGAGAGAGAGAGAGAGAGAGAGAGAGAGAGAGAGAGAGAGAGAGAGAGAGAGAGAGTCGAATACTTTAAATAGGTACCTACTTCAAAAAAGCTAAATGGTTATGAGGAAGAAAAAAGGAACAAGGCTAAACTAGCAAGATCCCAGACTATCACAAACTGCTACGAATAAAGGCCAACACCTGGCAGTTCGAACCAATCCAACCAGCCCTGGTGTCATCGAAGTGGGCCGGCTCCTGGTGTGATGGGACAGGTTAGCTGATGTCATCCAAATCCGACCCCAAACCCTAACCACTCAATTAACGGTCCTGGGCAGTCGGGGCAACACCGTGCCTCAAAACAGAGAAATACACACCGCCGCCAGAACACCGAACATTGAACCGCAGCTCCGGTGCAAAAGTGTGACTTTTTTCAATTATTTGTTCAAGAATCGATCCTGCAGCCCGCGTACACGGTTCAGGCGGCGTGCCAGGCAGCAATCAAGTGCCAGAACTGTTTGGGTTGGGTGACTTTGGTGACGTTTCCGCGGTGCAGTCGATTCGTGATTGGTGCAGCGTGCCGTTCATTGAAAATGCCCGCTCAATCGCACCGAATAGCTACATGTGGTCGAATGAAGAGCTGACAATGGCTGCTCAGTCATTTTTTACTTCATCGATGGATGTAATTTGCCCTGTTAGCCCATGAGGAAGCAATATGGATATCATTTTTTTGTATATCAGTGGAACAGTTTTTTAGGGTATCATTGGCACACAAACTGCGAATTCAGGAAGAAAAAGTTGATTGACTGCATTATAAGAACTGATTTCGACAGAGTATTATTCAATCTGCGAATTAGAAGCATCAGTCTTCATGATAGCCAAGTCACTGACTGAGACGACACGCTGTACTTCTGTTGATTTATCCGTATAATGAAGTGGCCCTGGCTGTGACTGCCGTCCTCTCTAGTCGCCAGCCTGGCCTGGATAGCAGCAGATGGCAGGCGGCCGGCTGGCCAGCCGCGCGGCACGGACGTGCTTTTTGCTGAACGTGGCCCAGTTCCATTGGTTCCGCCCCAACCGCCAGTCAGGCTAGTCGGGTTTCGAGTTTCAACTGCCTTCTTCAACATTGACCACTGGCGATCCTCGATACTTTCACTATCAACTTGGTTGCTATCAATTGCAGTTCTGCCTCTAACGTCGGGAGCCGCCACGAATGGTCACCAAGTTGTCAATTGCTCTCATTTATATAGACGGCAGCGTCAGGGGGTTGGTGGCAAGATGAGAAGTCCACCAGCGGTACCTACAAAAAGACAGCAAAATCAATAATGACAACAGTCATAGAGAGATATGTTAGTTCTGTATTAGAGATGTCAATCGGATACCAACTTTTTGGTATACCAATACCAAACCGATACCAACTTGGTATTTGGTATTTCAATCGCAATGTGTTTGGTATTTTGTTGGTATCATGAACCCTCAATAATGTATAAAAGGCTAAGAAATCGGTATAAAGTTGGTATTTCCCTCATTTTTCCAAGTTGGTTTGGTTTCGGTATTTCCCCATGGGTTTGGTCGGTATTTGGTTTGGTATCGGTATTCAGATTTACCGTAATTGACATCACTATTCTGTATCGTTGTCAAAGCTGGACATGTCCACGAATGCTTCTTTATTGCCTGATCTTCCAGTGATTATGATTTAGGAAGCAGGCTGCCGGCTTAGCTTCTTCGTGCCTGAAGCTCATTCAAGCCACATTCAGACCATCATTTATTTATTTATTTATTTATTTATTTTACATCGTGAGCAATTCCGTCAAAACAAGAGGCTATTACATGCTCGTGTCATCATATAGCATTGGACTGGGGAAACGAGACTACATAACGCACATACTTGACACATGCTAACAGGAACAACACTACATCATCGCAGAATGTAGCATCACATTCCATGGTTGACATGCTGGGGCTCACGCTGGTGTTCTAACAAGAACTTCCTGAGCGTGGGCTTGAAGACAGCCGGAGTTGACTCTCGCAATGTCTGTGGCAGCTCGTTATAGTCAGATACCGCCGAGTAGAGAAAGCGGCGCCTCCCAAACTCCGACCTGATCGTGGGGGTCACCAGCATGTCACTGCTACGGGTGTCTCTCCCGTGTACACTCCGTCTAATGGACAGGCTAGCCGACAGCACCGTAGGCTCAGACGTGGCTAACATTTTGTGAATCGACACAAGTCGGTGATACATGTACATGCTATCAGCATGAAGCCAGCCACGTTCATTGATGACGTCACTCACGCGATCGAATTTTTTTCGTCCAGAGACGACACGCGCGGCGAACCGAATCACCTTCTGAAGTCGACCGCGTTGAGTCGCATTGCTTGCCCCATAAACAGATAGGCAGTACCGGATGACGGAGAACACCAGGCCTTGTACCATGGTGGCCCCATCACCGACTGTGGCAGACTGTGTCTGCTGTGGCTCAGTCCACACAAAGTGCCGGTACACCGCCGTATGACGTCGTTTGTGTGCGTGACAAATGTCATGTCCCTTTCAAACCACACACCGAGGTTTTTGACGGCGTCTGAGCAGGTGATGGTTGAGCCGGCGAATTTGATGCTGACTGATGGAATGCGACGGGTCATTTCTCGTGAGCCGAGCACGATGAACTGGGTCTTCGCTGCGTTGATTTTTAGACCATTTTTGCTGTACCAGTTGTGTGCTACAGACAGGGCCTCTTCGAGCGACCCGACAAGCTGGGCCAGCTCACTCGGCTGTCCCGTGACAAACAGCT